TCTAACCAAAGATTAACCACATCATCATCATCATCACTACTACTACTACTACTACTACTACTACTACTACTACTACTACTACTACTACTACTACTACTATGTGTACAGCCTATAAAAGGGGGAAGTAAGAATAAAGGGGATAATTCTGGGAACTGAAGTCTGCATAGCTTAAAATTGCCACGGATGAAAAACGTAGCTGTATACAAATGCTGGTTTAGAGATTAGTTCTGATTATGCTTTCTAACAATAGAGCCCTATGCTTTCCCTGACTATGCTTTCTAACAATTGGCTTGTAGTCTCTCACCTGCCATGTTTTTTTGCATAGAATTTATGTTTTTGCAAAGCATACCTCTGACCCCTTAACGGTCCTTATTGTGTGATGATAGTAATTTTTCCTGATTTGAGCCAGCCAATTTACCATTAAGGAGTAGTTTGGACTTTGGTGATATGTACATGATATGGGCCTGATGACAAAACTAATAGGTTTGTATTTTGACTCTGCAGAGAAAGAAGCTACCAACATCGAAGGATTTGAAACTGGAGACCAGAAGCTAAGTTACTATGTTAGACTAGGGTCTTTGTCTTCAAAGGTCCGAGCACGTGCCTATCAACAGGCTCTAAATGCATTTAGGGATGCTAAGCTCAAAAGCCAAGAGACCATTTCTCAGCTCAATTATACTGTTAACCTGGTAAGTATGACATTTTTCTTAAGTAGGTTGTATCAGTAATATTGTGATCTTCTGAACATGTGTGTTTTCTTTGATCTTCCTTTTTTGGTGGACTTTGAGAGTTAATGATACTCACAAGGTTGAACTCCCATCAAATCTTAAAAATTAAGGTATTTGTCACCTGTGACTAGAGAATAAAATAAAATGACCTGTCACAACATGTTTTAATACAACAGAGAGAAACCTAAAAAAAACCACGTTGAGACATCTTCAAGCATCAGTTCTATTCTTTCCTCCAAAAGATAGTAGACAAAGTACCCCAAATGAAGAGTAGTTAATAATGATATCAAGCTTATGGAACAAGTCTGATCACTTTTTCAAGAGTATGCAACAAATTAGTCACTCCTTCAATTCTCCATGGATTAGAGGTTCAGACTTCACTGCTGAATTGCTTTTGTTCCTAGGATCAAATATGAGGAAAATGAAACAAGAACTTAGAACTTAAATAAAATGCCTACCTTGCACATGTGACACATTTGCACATCACACTAAGCTTGGCTTACTTTAACCACAGGTTGTTGAACATAACTATAGCATCCTGGTTTCACACAACACAAAGGGATCAATCTAATTTTGTAAACTACAGTATAAAATGTGCTAAGCCGAACGGATCACATGACCTCTTCATGGAGAGTGGGAATCCAATTTTTGAGTACCCAGCTCACAAAGTGTCATCTGGGAATAAGTGTCTAAAAGTGACTCTCCCCCCTCCCCTTGTCTGCAATAGTGGAAAAGTCTTCTAGGCCTTCCAGAAGCAAAGAGGAGCAACAGATGAAATTTGTGTTCTGACTCGAGCTCCACTCTTCCTGCCTATGATGTTGAATTGAAAATACAAAATGTGGATCTCGATGCGCAGTTCATAATTTTTGTGTAATTTCAGTTTGTACTGGATACCTGTGGCCAATCCCACATGATTTCTGTGGGAGAAGTTGGTTATTTTTTTTCCCATTTCCAGTTCTGACTTTGTTGAACATATATGTCCAAGTCCACTCTACTGAAGATTTTGTCAATTCAGTAGCAACCAAATTAATGGACATCAATGTCTGGGGGTCTTTCAGTGGTTTTCAACAATGCGAAGAAAATGGGGGGGGGGGGCTTAGTTTTCAGCCATGCATTTCACCTCTTAGCTGTGAACCTATCAAAAGGGCACAGCCAACATAGCAGTCCTGAATCACCAGCTATGAGTTATGACTCTTGCAGCTATCAAAAGAGTCACTACAGCTTTTTCGGAGTCAGATGGCGAAAAAGAGACCAAAGTTCTTTTTTTTAAAAGCACAGATATAGGATAAGTTTCTTAACATCATTTCTTTTTTTAATCCTGAGGGCCAGTAGTTATAAATGATACATCAAGAAGTCTGTAATTTTGGGGGGTGTGATGGTATCAGGGTTTTGGGGTCATTATTTTAAAAGCAATACAAATAAAGAGGTATGCACACTTTTGTAAAATTGGATATGTTGTGTATTCTAGCTGGAGTATGCCAGAAAGAACATGACTAATGCTAACGTGAAACTTCAAGATGCCCAACAGAAGTTATATAATTCCTGGACAGAATGGAAGAAAAACATTAGCCCAAATGGCGAGGCTGCTTCACACAGTGCTGAGGTGAGTGGATACATCGACAAAGAACTGATTCCGCTTAAAAGAGGTATCTTCATTAAACCAGAAACATATTAGTCAGGAGCCGACATCAAATATATGACTTTGCTATCTCTGGATGACAAAGATTTTGCTTCCTTAATACTTTGGGACATATGTTATGGATTTTTGGCTGGTAATCACAAAAATAACCTGTAGTTTAACCTATCACATACTATTCTAAAGAAATCTTCCGTTTTTAATACAGTGGCAATGTATATATCCTTCAGTACCTATTGGCATTCTTACACACATGAAAAAAACATACAAAACCATGAAACTCTTGTTGAAGCACATCCAGTACACCAAGTCTGTGGAGATCTAAAAGTGTAGTGGTTGTGCTGCTTGGAATGTAGCTCAGATATCCAAGTATTGCTCAAATCAAATCACTGTTACTTAGTGAATGGGATAGCTATGCAAAAGAGTTGTTTTAATTAAAAATATATAGCTATTCCAAAAGAATTTGATTCCCGGACAGAAATATCTGGCCCATGAATCTCTTGTTCACCTGTCAAAGATATGTTTGCCTCCATTTCACATATAACTCAAGATTGATGAAAAATGTTGTGAAAGCAATGAACAAGTAAGGTGAAGGTTTTCGTTATTTGAGACAGATGTTTCCAAGATTAACTGATGCCAAGATTAAGGAAGGCATTTTTGTTGGTCCAAAGATCAGATATGTCATCAATGACAAGCAGTTCAAAGATCTGTTAGTGGAGCCAGACAAAATTGCCTGGAAAGTTTTCAAGGATATGTTGAGAATTTTCTTGGCAACTACTGAGCACTAAACTACATTCAGCTGGTTGGCAAACTTCTTACAGCATGCAAGACTATGAAGTGCAACATGTCACTTAAGATTCATTGTCTGCATTCACATTTGGACTTCTTTCCCAAAAATGACACATGCTGTCAGTGACCCATAGGGTGGAAGGTTTCACTAGGACATTGCCACAGTGGAAAAGTAATAATAGGTCAAATGAAATCCATCATTGTTGTCTGACTACGGTTAGATACTACAACAAAATGCATTTGATGCTATGTATAAATGAAAATCAGCAGCAAAATGCTTTGGGCCCAGTTGAACTCATGCAGTGTCGGAAACATTATGCAGTTAAATACTTAGAATTATTAAAAGTTAATGTCATATTTCTCAAGATCCCTAAATGACACAGTCATTCTGAAATTATATTTGCCTTCAGTTTGAAGGGGTCTATCACAATCGCCTAAAGTTTTTCAGGAAGCAAAACGTTTGGGGAAAAAAAACAACTTTTGAATCTCATAGAGAAGCTGATGAAGAAATTAATATAAGTAGACTAGAGCACAAGAAGAGCTTCATTTCACTGCTGCCTTCTTAGAGAATAGCAGTGTCTCCATTGCACTGATTATTTTCTGTCAGTAATTATCTTATGTTTGGCTTCTGTTTTCAAATGCTGAGTACCCCTGAACTTAACATAAAATGTCCTGAAAATTTCCTTAAAACTACAGCTATGATATTGTATTTAGGATTAAATCACTCGCTTAACTTTTGTTCTGGTTTCTACTGTGCATTAATTGCTTTCTTCCAAAAAGCTTTTATAGAAAATAATGAGCTATAAAGGCAGTATTTCCCCCTCCTTAGAAATGTTTACAGGATACAAGCCAGTATAAGGATCAATGGAGTATAACTGAAGAGTTTAAAATGCTAGATATTAAAGGAATATGAACTGAAGAGTACAAGGCAGACTTTAAAAAAATCAATTCTATCATTATAAATTCCCCTCTTCTAGAGGATTGAAGAGTTTCTTATACAACATGAAAGTTTTATTACGCTGCAGGTGGAAAGAAGAATTGACAAACTATTTTGATCACTGCTGCATCCTACAGGAGGGCAGGTGGATCCATTCCACGTTTTGTGGGTTGAAATAGCAATAGCATTTAGGCTTCTATACCACCGCATAGTGCTTTAAAGGCACTCTCTAGGCGGTTTACAATGTAGAAGTGTCATTCACATATTGTTCCTAACAATCTGAGTCCTCATGTTACTCGGAACGATGGAAGACTGAGTTAATTTTGAGCTCTGTCAGGATTGAACTCCAGGCTGTGGGAAGAGTTTGCCTGCACCACCTCATAAATAAAGGTGGGATTTGTTAAAATAATATTACAATGCCCCAGCTAAATCCAATTTTGCTTCCAAAGTTGGGTATGTCTATGAGGGAAGCTCTTGCTCACATTATAACCTACTTAATAGATTTTCCTACATCCTTCGCTAATGAAGCATTGCAAAGATATTGTTTTAAGTTGTGAAATTTAAAAAAAAACTGTTTGCAAAAGAACTATTCATCTACTAAGAGCTGTTCTCTTTTTCAGCACATTGAATCGCGCACTCTAGCAATTGCACAGAACCTGAGTCAGCAGCTTCAGACAACCTGCCTCACGCTGGTGTCCAGCATTCAGGGTTTGCCCCAGAACATTCAGGACCAGGTTCACCATGTTGGGGAAATTGCAGGAGACGTGTACAAAAGCTTCCGGTCAGCCTCTTCTTTCAAAGAAGTGTCTGACAACCTCCTTACTTCTAGTAAAGGGCAATTGAAGAAAATGAAAGAATCGTTGGATGACGTGATGGATTATCTTGTTAACAACACACCCCTCAACTGGCTGGTAGGTCCCTTTTACCCACAGTTGGCTGGCCCTCACAATGCTGAGCACAAAGGTGAAGGGGATAAAAAAACCAACCAGGAGAACAAGCGGCCTGAAGAAAAGGAAGAATAAATTGCGGCGGGCAAATGTACACTTTGTGTCCTAACTAACACAGTGGCTTAGCCATTAGCAGAATTTTGTCCATTAGAGTCAAAAGGAACTATCAGAATGAAATAGTGTTGCATGTTTAAGTTGAATTATATGTCCTTCACTTAAGTGAACTGAAAAATGTGGGTGCCTTATGACTTCTAAACCTCAGCTGATTACACTGGGGAGACCACACCTTGTTCAGCTATTTAGCTATGAAGCCCCATCTTCATCTATTTAAATATATTTAAGACAAAGCTTTTCAATGTATATTATAAAACAAAGCAAAGCACTTAATTAGAAAACAACTTTTGAAAAAAATACACTCAGGTAATCAGAATATTGGTGCCCTTGCATTCATGCTATTTCTTAAAAACATTAAGCTACATTATTTTAAATACTTAAAGAGCACTCTGATCAGCTTCCCTGCTCTATTTGAATGAAGTTTATGACTAACCTTTTTCCAGAGTTCCTCGTGGGCTGTGAACATTTATGGTATTTAAAACTCTAAGACTTTGTACTACTTAATCACTCCACTGGAAGTACCCTCGAGTATTATGCACTCCATTCGATTCATGCTGTGTGTACGCGGGAGTGTAGCTTGTCTTCGGTAGCACTTCACCTTGTAATTCTCCATGTATGCTCTCAAGTAATAAATGCTTCAGCAGCCAAAGTCTGTCTCTTGAATTGTGTAAGCAAGTATGATTACAAATATTCTATATTGTGACTCAATTATTATTGAGCTGAGTTGTATTTTAAAACTGGGTGAATATAAACTGGTCCCTTAATCGGCATGTCACGCATTACATCTAAATTAGATGGGCTCAATGTTGCTGCCGCATTTGTTTCCTTCTGTGGCTCCCCATCCAGCTTTACTAACTATCTGCTGCTTAAGCTTTAGTATTTCAGCTTAATATGATCGTACTTTCTGTTGCTTGAAAGCAACAGAAGGAAGGAAGGGTTGTGACTTGGTGGTGATTTTTTAAAAACTACTGGGATCCAGTTCAGACATCCTGTGGTCTTGGACAATCCATCAGATTGTGTAATAGTCCCTGACTCTTACCATTGAGAACTCATGGATATGAAAAAATGTTTATCCCAAGTAGACATGTATGTTTTTTGTTTTAATACTTGGCTGTATTACACTAGCAGTTTCCAAAACTTCCAAAACACCGTGATAATAGTTTTGTCTAAATATAGAAGAAACAGGCTGTAGAATGAGAGGTGATATGTTCTCAATGATTGATTCTATTCAAGTTGATAAAATAAAACAGCAAAGGAGCTGTTTTAGGTCACACTTCTGCAAATCTGGATTTTCAACAAATCACGAGTTAATCTATTACTAAATTTCCTTCCTTAATTCACTCCTAAAGTTACTAAACAGCTCTAATTCTTCTTAGCTTATTTTGACATATCAGCTTTTGGACATTATCAAGTTACTTAAACAGATAATGTTAATTTCGGCAGCAATCTAACAAAATAAGGCTTCTTAAGTTGCAACGTGCTACCTCAATGATATGGAAAGGTAATTTAACCCATAAATTTGAGAACACTTGTTTGGATAGATGTGCATAACTATTTTCTTCAGGCTGCACAATTCCATCATTGTGCATTGACTTCCTGCAATAAAATAAAATGGCACCATTTTGAAAATTGGACCTAAAAGTTAATTCTTGATTTAGGAGTATTCCTGCTTTGAATATGGGAAATTGATCTAGTGCACAATTTTGGCATTATATGAAAATAGAGCATAGCACACAGTTTCTTACCTTGGCTCAGTTATATGGACAAAAACACTTGTAATATTCTTGGTTAGTATCATTGTCTTTCATAAAATAGTAAGAGGTGGTTTAAAAAACATTAAAATGTGCTGTAGAAGACCCAAAGTTGACTTGAAGAAACAGTGGTGGGCAACATTTCTCAGATCGAATCCCATATTAGGAAGGCGGAATGAAAATTAAAGTAGAACCCTTAGAAACATGGTAGTTTTTAGAATAACATGGCTTCCTTTCAAAAGCAAATTGAGGTAGGGCATACGTCTGTGTAAGCGGACTGCTAGAGCTTCAGGTTGCACATTATTTTGTGCAACTGACTTAAGGTTGTCTCAAGCCTTCCATCCTTCTGAGGTCGGTAAAATGAGAATCCAGATTGTTGGGGGACATATGCTGACTAAACAGTTTAGAGAGGGGTGTAAAACTCTATAAAGTGGTTTATAAGTCTGCTATTGCTATTACCGTACTTTGCTCTAATGCACGCTCCTCTGGTTACACTTTCTTGTACAAAAATATTTAATAACTTCTCTAAGCTCAGAAGATAATTTCATAAAATGTCAGTAATAATTGTCCTCCAGCTACTAGACTCAATATTAAATACAGAGACAATTGTCAACACGGTTTGCAAAAATAAAATTGTCACCTGCTGTCTCAAAGATTAGGGGGCAGATTTAGTTACTAGGGGAATTTCATAAAAATAAATTAAGGGCTCTGCCTTGTCAGTGTTTATTTTTTCCCATAAGAGGGCTGGAAGAAAGGTGATGGGGACTGACAATAGATTCTTTCATGAGGTAGGGATAGTGGTTAAATACACTACACTGCAGAGGACGTGATCTAGTTGATGCTGTCCTTGCTATTGTAAACATACAAGAAACTTTACAAAGGAAGTTTCAGAATATTTATCAGATTAAAAAGTACAAACGATCAAAATAAATTAAGATTTATTAAATTTAAAAGCTGCTGGTCTGACTCTGCAAAACAGTTCTGGGTGACTTAAAATGAACATTAGATACAAAATAAAAAACAAGGCAAGAATGGTACATTTGTGACATCTTTCCTGTTAGGTCCATCAACCATAATACAATACAATACAATATTAGAGTTGGAAGGGACCTAGGAGGTCTTCTAGTCCAACCCCCTGCCTAGGCAGGAAACCCTATACCGTTTCAGACAAATGGCTATCCAACATCTTAAAGACTTTCAGTGTTGAGGCATTCACAACTTCTGGAGGCAAGCTGTTCCACTGATTAATTGTTCTGTCAGGAAATTTCTCAGTTCTAAGTTCCTTCTCTCCTTGATTAGTTTCATCCATTGCTGCTTGTTATACCCTCAGGTGCCTTGGAGAATAGTTTGACTCCCTCTTCTTTGTGGCAACCCCTGAGATATCGGGCTATCATGTCTCCCCTAGTCCTTTTCATTAAAGTAGACATACCCAGTTCCTGCAACCGTTCTTCATGTGTTTTAGCCTCCAGTCCCTAATCATCTTTGTTGATCATCTCTGCACTCTTTCTAGAGTCTTCACATCTTTTCTACATCATGGCGACCAAAACTGAATGCAGTATTCCAAGTGTGGCCTTACCAAGGCATTATAAAGTGGTGTTAACACTTCGCGTGATCTTGATTCTATCCCTCTGTTTATGTAGCCTAGAACTGTGTTGGCTTTTTTGGCAGCTGCTGCACACTGCTGGCTCATATTTAAATGGTTGTCCACTAGGACTCCAAGATCCCTCTCACAGTTACTACTATTGAGCAAGGTACCACCTATACTGTACCTGTGCGGTTTTTTTTTTAATGCATTTTGTTAGAACCACTTCTAACAGCGCCTCCATCAAGACTCCAAGCCAAATGGCTGAGCCATTGCCATTCCTTCATAAAAGATATAAAGAACAACTTCAGTACAGAAAATCTGAATTACATTTATTGTTGCCCAAATTGCATTGCAGGTCTGAGCCTTTAACTTACATTACTGCTTTGTGATCATCTTCGGTTCTTCTGTGAAAATAACTTCATAGGCCAAAATGTTTTGGCTCTTTAAAAAAAATGGATCCCCAATTCAAACGTGTACTAGTTGCTTGGTAGTGATGCTAGTAATATTTAGGGGCTGGAAGGCTGGCAGTCTTCAAAAGCATTCTGAGATGCTTTGGCACAAAGTTGAATAATACAGTAATTCCTTAAAACACACGGTACCTCTACATAGTGATTTGACAACGATGCTGAAAATATAAGTAAATACACAAGCATAAATAACATGCAGAAAAATAAACTTATAGACAGAAATGTCAATTGGTATCCAAACCAATGTCAATTATTACCTGGTGCCTGGTAAGAAAGTGCCCTTCTGATCTGGTGAACCACATCTCCCATTTTTCCTGATCCTTGACATATGGCCAATACTGATTGGAGCTGCAAAGTAAGGTCATTTGGAAAGCCACAGACTTCCCTCTACCCCAAAAGTGATTCCTATTCCTTCAAAGAAAGATAGAAATACAACAGAGTATAAGTTTTGGCCAGAAAGTTTTAAACAAATGTATCTGAAATGCTGAAGCAGCATGTTTTTAGGCCCTGCACCTCTTTTCCAGGGAACCACATGCAGTGTCATGATGTATAGAAAAATTATGTGGCTGTTGGCACAAGGTCATAATATTGCTTCTGTCGTGGCCAAGACCATTGATGTTGGGCATTTTAAAAAGGAAGCTTTGACAGGAACTGCAAATTAATGCAAAGTCTCTTAAGGATCACAGCGGCATATAAGATCTAATCATTTTAATAATAAAATATTGTAAAGAAAGCTACAATTCCAATTGTAAAATAATTATACAGAGAGAAAAGTTATAATAATAAGCTATTATTAACTAAATAGCTTAATAGTATTAATTATTGATGTAACTTAAGCAAAAAAAATGGTTTCAATGTAAGCACAACATCTCCCAAAGGTCCTGAGACTTCTGACCTTAATAAAATGTTGCATACAGCCCTGCAGTCACATGACTATATTTTGGATTCTTGGCAATAGGTTCCCATTTATGCCTGGTTGTAGCATTCTGCTGTTTTGTCCTGATTTCTGCAGTTTTCATTAAAAAAAACACCAGCCCATTCTGGAGAATGGATTCAGACTTGCAATCACTTAACGACTCCCATAAAAACAGTTGTAAAATCAGTTGTAGTCATGTGGGTACCTCGTCTTACATCTTTCATGACTTACGACTGAAATCCCAATCCTAAATGCAAAGGACAACCTGTAATTTGCTGTTCAGTTAGTGATGTCCCCAATTTATGTAACAGTTGTAAAAACACATAAAACCAGTGAATAGATGCTGTCTCAGTAAATAATTGTTCATTGTGGGCCTGAATTTCAGGTAGGAACTTTTGTTGTTTTTGATAACCGAACAGCAAATTACAAGTAGCCCTCTGCAATTAGGATTGGGATTTCAGTCGTAAATCATGAAGGACATAAGACGAGGCACTCGCGTGACTGCACCTGATTTTACCCAGTTTTCCCAGTTGTATCAGGATATGCCACAGCAAAGGGATACAGTGCATCAATGCAAATTTATATTCACTCTGTTGACTAACTTTTCAGTCAAAATACTGGAATATCATATTTTGGAGTGTCGTATTTCATTAACGGAACCAATATGAAATAAACCAGGACTAGCAGCTTGTCTCCAGGAGCACTCATCTTTAAATTGTAATGAAAAGTTCTTTTGGGTAACATTCAATCAGACTCTTTGTGAACGTCATTCGTATTTTCAGGTTTTTTGAATAATGATTGATTCCCCCCCCCCCAGTTATCTGTATCTTGGATATTTAAGAGATCACAACTCTGTATGATAACAACCACCAGTTGGGTTGGGCCAAAGCGGCATCTCTCAACTCTGTCACTTGGCTTATGCAATTGGATGCTCTCAAACAGGAGATGAAAACATATCCTTCTTTATTCTATTATTGTTTCCTTGCAATTAGTATTAGGAGGCATACTGTTGAAAAAAACTGTCACCCATTAATTTATCCAATTCCCACTTAGAATTCCCCAGGTTAATGATATTACCATGTTTTGTAATAAGGATTCCACAAATTAATTAGGTACTAGCTGAAAAAATACAGGTAGTCCTCGATGTATGACCACAATTGAGCCCAAAATTTCTGTTGCTAAGTGAAACACCATGGTTCCCTGAAAATATGACAGGATCTTATTTTCTTTTGACCCTGAAATAAGTGCTTGACCTTATTTTTGGGGAGATCCTGTTATTTTTGAGGTGCAGCAGGCGGCAAGCATGGTCACCTCATGGCTGCTGATGTGTTGCGATATTTTTGGGGAAGGCTTATTTTTTGGGGAGAGGGCTTATTTTAGCTCAGGCGCTCAAAAGCCCGATTGGGCTTATTGTCTGGGGAGGTCTTATTTTCAGGAAAATGGGGTATTAAGTGCATTTTGCCCATTTTATGACCTTTCTTGCCACAGTGGATAAGTGAATCACTGCAGTTGATAAGTTAGTAACATGATTGTTAAGCGAATCTGGTTTCTCCATTGACTTTGCTTGCCAGTAGGTCACAAAAAGTGATCGCATGACCCCAGGATACGGCAACCATAATAAATAAGAACCAGTTGCCAAGCATCCTAATGTTGATCACATGATCATGGGGATGCTGTGAAGGTTGTAACTGAAAATATCTCTCTTTTTTTCAGTGCTGTTGTAACTTTGATCGGTCACTAAATGAACCCTTAATGCTGGGGTAAGGTGGGGGAGGAGAGTGCGTAGAATTCAAATGTTGCCTTCAAATTTATTTGAGCTTATTTTTTCTATAGATTCCAGATTTCACTATAACAGAGTTGTCTTCAGAATCTGATGAGATACCGGACATCTCGGATCTGGACGAAGAAGGACTGCCTGACTATTCCCATGCAAATGGCCCAATTACCATGGAACAAATAGTGGAAGCATAAGAAAAACTGTCTCTGTCATACAATCTATGTGTGTGCTGTGTGTGTGTATGTGTATGTGCATCTACATGCATATAGACACACATGGAGTGCATATGCACACTTAATTACAATTCTGCATTATGGGACGATAACTATTGGAGAGTACATCTTTGTTTAATTTAGATGAGCCAGCATTCAGCTTCTTGATTCATTGTTGTTATGGAAAATAGATAAGTATTTTAGGATAAGCCATAGATGCTTTAGGTGATAGATAAATGTATTGAAATGGTCTTAAACTTCCTTTGAAGCTTAGATCACAATTGGGCCAATAATGGCTTTTGAAGCAACAGCCTTAACAATTCACCTGAAATGTGGCCTATGAGATGATTTGCTGTCTTGAGCTTCCTTCCTTAGCAAAACATGTTTAGCAACATATCTATATTTTACTTTGTCGCAAAAACGTCAAACAGAAATAATATGTTGCTCAATTCTCTGTGATTGTTCAATTCTCTGTAATTGTGTGATTAGGTGTATTAAGCTTTTGAAACAGTTTTCTTATACTCTTTGCCCTACTCAAATACATTGGGAGTGCAATTCCCAGATGACAAGGCATAGAATCCCAATATATTTGGGAGATTCATAGTTGAAAAAGGCTGCTTTAATGCAATTTAAAATATTTGGTGTCTCTTTATAAGATTCTTGTCCAATATGTCCGTGCTTCAATAACATATCAACCAAGATGTTATTAAAATAATAAACCTATATTCTGGCTGTGGATTCATATAATTTGATATTGCTCCCTAAAATCCATGGCAGCTATCTAGAGGAAATATATTTATTTTAAATAATTATTTTAAATAATTGAGTTAAAGCACACAATTCCCCATTAGATTTTACATTTATATAAGAATTAAGTTTAAGATTTAAATGAGTCTGAAGAGAAGTGATGTACACACTCAAAAAGGATATAAGAAAACTACCTTCTAAAAAGGGAGGAGTTTAGATAAAAAATAACAAAAATGCAATAACTATACATGATGGCAAAAATATGAGAAAATGACATTTATTCTGCAGGTTCTGCTCATTGTAGATTCCTGCTAAAACATACAATTTCAAAAACAGCCATTGTATAAGCACCTAGACCTATATTTCATGATAGATTTGAGGAGTTTCATGTTTTCTGACTGAAACCATAAAATAAATAGAAATGTGATTGTTGTCATTTGCTGTCATCACCATTTCTTTTCCTATGCCACTGGAACTTTGTTTCTATTTGTTGTGGGAATATGAGGACATTTCTGGTGCTAATTTAGTAGATTCCATAAAGTTAGAGTTAAGAAATAATTTACTTCTTTTTTACTGTAAGGTAAGTGCCTTTAATATCAGATGTAGTATGTAAGTTGTAAGAAAAAATTACTGAAATGCCTTGGAAATAAACTTTGAACTGATATTTGATTACTGCATGAATGTTTTGCCTTTTTTCACTCCTTTCTCTTTATTAAATATATAGTCATATAAAGTTACAGTATCTTTGATAATATGCCATATAGTGCTAGATCTGGGGAAATGGTTACTCAACACCCTTATATTGATTTAAAAAACAAGTGATTTCCATGAACAACACAAGATGCTTCTGTCTTTGATTCCAGAATAAAATACTTGATGAAGAATTAGTTGTTGCTTATGTTAAAGTCATGGCTGAAAGGGAGTGAACATTCAAACTGTGTTCTTACACACAGTTTAATGAACACTTAGATTTAAATCCCATTGTTTTAATAAATGCTAATTTGAGTAATGCTACATTCTAGAAGCTTATAAATGCTATGTAGCCTTTGGATGATCTGTTTGATATAAGATCACAAGTGTTGGCATTGTGCATCATCTCCTCATCAGAGTAGAATATTGCTCTTGTTATCTTTATGTATTGTAGTTGGCTTTGGCTCATTGTTTCCAAAATCCAGTGATCGCTTGGTAGCTAAATCAACTTTTGATATGCTTCAGTTGCAGACATGCATTATGTTCAGGAAAGAAGGCAAACAATTATTAGTGTAACCAATAATTCCTCCTGTCTAATAGAATAAATTATTAGTAGATTGTCAGTCTTCTCAATCTTTAGCCCAGTCCATATAGTCTATAATTTGCAGGCAGTGTCAAATGCTGTGAGTTTGTGTGTATGTGCATATATTTCTTTGAATAAATCTTTTTGTGGTAATCGCTTGGATTAGTCTCTGCAGTTTTCTTGGCAGGATTTTCAGAAGTGGTTTGCCATTTTCTTCTTTGGGCTAAGAATGACTGGTACAAAATCACCCAACTGGCTTCCAGTTTCTAGCCTGCTATCTTAACCACCACACCAAATTAGCTCTCTTGGTCAGTTTCTACAATGTTTTAAGGCATCTTCTATCCTATTCAATATCTTTCTATTCTATTCAAAGGTAAGAAGAGATCTAGTTCTTTTACTTTTGTCACTTTGTGTAAGAGGTTTATAATTTATTTATTTTAAAATTCATTCTTCAACCGTCGGCATCTTTTTCCTTCCCTGTGCTTAGCAAGTACAATCCTCGCAGGGGTCACCATGTAAAGAAATAGAGTCCCAAATTGTTTTTCAATTGATTTATCCATAATATCTAAAAGAAAAGATTTCAGTTTTATTAATATTTGTGGATTAAGTATTTTCTGCATTATCATTATGTTTATCCAGAATATTTTCACATATTTGCAAGACCACCTCATAGTACAAAATGTACCTGGATTTTGATTACATTTGCAACACTTGTTAGAAGTCCCTCTATACCCGGGATGGCAAACCTATGACACGTGTGCCACAGGTGGCACACACAGCCATTTGTCAGGGCATGCCAGGCGTTGCTCTGTCACCTGAGTTCAGCCATTTTTCGCCCTCCCCAGGCTCCAGTGTCTTTATAGGAACCTTGGGAGGGCGAAAACAGCCTCCCTCCCCCCCCGAGGCCCTCTGGAGGCTTCAGGAGTCTTCCGGACTTTCGGTTTGCTTGTACGGCTGGTTTAAGTCCTTCAGTCTCCGGAGGCCTTCCAGGGGGCGGAAGAGGCTGTTTTCATCCTCCCCAGGCTCCTATAAAGCCTCTGGAGCCTGGGGAGGGCGAAAAATGGCTTTAAAAAAGGCTGAACTCAGCTGACAGGGCAGCTTTATAGGACCCTGGGGAGGGTGAAAAAAGCATACAAAAAATGGGGAGCTGCTCTATACATTTTTGCTAATCTATCTGGAGTCAAACCCCAATAATACACCACTTTATATTTTAAAAAATCAAACTATAATTCAAAGTAATTTTTCATTCATTAGTCTATACATTCTCCCATTTATCTAGCATCATATTATACCCAAATTGTTTTGCCCATTTTACCATGCAGTCTTCTACATATTCGTCTTCCAGGTTAATCTTGAATAACAGTTTATATACTTTTGCAATCAAGTGGTCATCTCCCAAACATAAACTAATATCTAATTCAGTTTTAACTCCTGTGAAAACAAAACATTTTTTATCATTTTTATCAAGTTTAAATCATTTAAAAATTCTATAATTAAACCCGTCATACAAAACATTCACTTACTAATTATCCACAATGCTGTCATCTTCTTTGATTTGTTTTAACTCAGTTATTAATAATTTAAACTTTTTATCAGATTTTTCATTCATCTCTTGTAACATGTCATGTAACAAAGAGAATTTTTTCTCAAATACTTCCATAAGAAGCTTGGCATTGTGTTTGTCTGACTTTATCTTTCACTTAGGAGGCATTTTACAAATGTACAGGCTTCCTATCTTTCAGCCAGTTCTGGCAGCAGAGAAGCAAACAAGAATACAGCTCTCTTTTTTTCAAGGCCAGAGGGAAAATTCCAAGAGCAAAGCAAACTGGCAAGGAGAATTATTTATTTATTTATTTATTTTCATTTATTTAGTTCGTCACTCATGCACATGATAATAGACGCTGGTGCACTTATGCACATCCTACTGACCTTTTAGGAATGGGATGTGGTCAACAGTACATATTTAAGGTTAAAGTTATGGGGGCTTGAGGATGTAACAACAGAGTCAGGTATTGCATTCCAGGCATTGACCACTGTTAGATAAGTTCCCCGTTGGGAGAGCGAGTACGTTCAGCGAAGCGTTGTGAGAGTTGTNGGGTGGGAAGGAGAGAAAGGCAAAGGCGGACCCCTTGCCTTGCTCCTTTGTGTCCAGCCAGAAAATGCTGGGAGTTGAAGTCCACAAGTCTTAAAGTGCCCAAGTTTAAAGACCTCTGCATGTCCAGGGGGAGGGGGAGGGGCCCCTCTTCCCCACCACCCATTGTTTCTTTAGACCCTTCCTCATCCAGAAGACAAAGGTGTAGATGAGGAGGATGTTCTTCAGGCAGGTGATGACCAGCTTTGTCTGCAGCCTCCGTGATGGGGATGCCATTGTGCTGAGCCCGGACGCCGCCACTCTACCACTCATCCAGACCAAGCCAGACTCCCAACTGTCTGGACGGAATGAGCTGAGTCTTTCCGGAAAATGCCAAAACATAGAGAGGGGGGGCTCTTCTCCCAGCCAATCGCAAATCCAGGTGGACCTGCCAAGCCTGACCGGGATTTGCCAAAAGATGGAAACACCCCTCCACCTCCCACCCCATAGCCAACACTGATGCAACACCCGACCTAGCCAACATTTTTCCGGAAGATCCTGAACCCAATTGGAACCAACCCGAGCTTTTCCGAGCTATCCCAAAAGGAGGTAGGAGCTTCCTTCGGATTTTTCCGACGTCTCGCCTCCCCCCCCCCGCCAAATGTTATTTCAGCAGCTGCAGGGGCTAATTTTGCAAAGAAAGCCTTGCTTTGGGGTTTCACTTCAGCCACAGCACCAGGTGCAAGCAGCTAGGACTGGCCACCCACAAAGGACCTCCCTGGGCTTGCTTTGCTGAACATGGGGCGACTGACAATAGTTTGAGCAGGCACGGCTGGCGCAAACTACTGTCAGTCGCCCCGCGCTCATCAGAACAAGTCCGGGGAGATCCTTTGCGGGCGGCCAGTTCTAACCGCCTGCAAAGGACCTCCCCAGCTTCTGGAGCCTGTGACAGTAGAAATCACTGTGCGGCAGATGCAAACTGCCGCGCAGTGTTTTCTTGCCATGTCCGCGGCCGTGTGAAAAATTGGGACTTTTTAAAAACGCTGTGGGACACGGGACAAATTATTAAGAATCGGGACTGTCCCACCAAAAGTGGGACGTCTGGTCACTTTATCTTAGTCCAATACTTACCACCAGATATGGTAACTGGTGACATTTCCAATATTTAGCTGATTTGTCTTTAAATACCTTTGCCAACCTCGCAAGTGGAAAATGCCATCTATAAAACATCTTATATAAATTCTCTTTATATGCGGTTGACATTGTTAATTTATAATTTCTTTTTCTTTTGTTCGTTCCTCTCTTTCTTCTATTAGCTCCTCATTTTCCAGGAGAAATTGGTCTTCACTTATTAGCCCCTGTATGGTGTTTTCTATTTTTTCCATTAACTTCTTTAAATAGTTTCTCCATTTGGTCCATTCTATTTTGCGAGAGTAAATCCAATTCCTTTACTATTCCAGTCATTTCTTATAAATCTCCAGATGGAAGATGTTGAAAGTTAAGGTATAAAATTCTTCTCCATGTGGGATGGTTCACTTTAATGTCTAACGGAAGATAGCCATGGGAATGTATGCTTATTCGGTTCTTAGGGCAGTTGGTAAAGGAAACATCTTCACACTTGTGTATTGGCTAAAATCTGCATTCTAACTAATTGGAGGGGTCTCTACTGCTTTAATTCTACTTGCATTGCCTAAGGGGACATTGCTTTGAACTTAATGGTTTCCATTCTACTTAATAAAAGGTTCCTTTTGAAATACTAAGTTTCAAGAGTCTTCACTTACTTAAGCTAGGAGAGGAACCCTAACTGGGAACTGTAATATCAGGTGGCTGTATTAACAAGAATGAAAGAGTATATTGTATTGAGGAATATAGGATTATTGACTTTGGAAGGACATTGGTAGGTAAACTCCCCATTGGGAGAGTGAGTGCATTCAGAGAAGCATTGTGAGAGTGGTGTTGGAGAACACACAAACCAGTATACAGAGACACTGCAGTTTAAATAGGCTTTTACTTTCATGGAAATAGAGGTATCAGAGT